ATCCACCCCCCCCCCCAACAGTCATTTCGTTCTCATCGCGAATCATGTGGGGCTGGAGTTGGTACTCCTCCTGTGCTGCCGCATAAACATCATAAGCTTTTGGTACGCCCGAGTATGACAAATATCAAATCTGATTCTTTAGTTATTTCTACCACCAGGTCTTTGCAATATATTCTGTCGTTTGCGACATGTGCCAACAATAAGGTAATGATCGGTTGATAGCTCTGCACGTCTCTTAACGCAATCATCAGTTATAGAGCGTCGTAAGTTGGACTTTACGATTATCAAATCGACCATCGACTTCAGTGCACAAGCTTATCTGTACCAGGTATACTCTAGCGCGTTTTTGATGCCCGGTGAAAGTGTTCTTAAGACAGTCCGTTGTTTGCACAAAATCGTAATTGCTTCATGCCATTGTTGTTGAGGTCGGTAGGACCATTCACTTTTCTGTGTCTGCTCTGACATGCGCATTAAAATTGCCCATGAGTATTAGGGATTCTGTATTCGGCACTTCCTCAAGGAAAAATCGTATTCTCCATTTAAATTGGGCGCATAGACCTGTACCAAGGTCAACGATTAAGCCTGTGGTAGCTTCAATCGGATTATTGCCACCCTTCTGCTGATGCCGGTCAGTCATGTTTGACATTATCCTTTTTGATTTTACGCTCTGCAGAACCCATTTCTGAGAGTTGATTATGATACCATTTTTCTGTAACCATATTACAGTTCAGTTCGTATCGTTACAAGTTTCGAGCCTGATTGTTGCACATTGCTGAAGTCAATAAGATATAGCGGCATGCTTGATGTACTTCACAGTGCTTAAAGCGTGCTCATATTCGGCCGTTTGTCAACCAATAAAGCTAATCAGGTATTATATCTGCATCTTGCTGTTGGATCAGCAGAATTTCTTTTAAAACAGCATTAAATTCTGATGAGAGGTCATTAAATAAGGCTAGTGTGAACTAAAAATGTGGCGATTAAGGAAAAGGATGATGAATATGTTAGGTACTCTGGTTGAGAATAAACCATTTACTCCAGCCCGCGAACCTCCAGTTTTGAAGTTGAAACAGCGGGTGTCTACGGAAAATCCAGCATGCAGCTGGAGGAACAGGGTAGAAACAGATCTGGTTTAATATAGGATTATTTTTTCTATGATGGTAACCGAAGCGTTATAGAAAGGATGTTGAAAAACTGCGAACACAACGGACATCAGAAACCAGAGAGGTTCTGCTTATGCAAATCAGATCTTATCAAACTTCTTAACGCAACAGTGTAAATTGTTAAGTGCCAGGATGCAAACGTCGCGGAACCATTTTGCTTCCAGTTATTTTTCCATCACTGATTGGGTAGACGTTTTGGAGGTTTCGATTATTTTGATTGCGAAAGCTCATTCAGGATTTTTTGTGATGAACCTTTTGTTACCTGTGGCTTCAACGGGGCCCTTTTGAAATGCGGTAAAATTATATTTATTTCGCACACGGCTCAGGTGAAGTTTTTAGGAACATTCTACCTGCGTAAGTGACCCCATTTCCTACTACCGTGAAACTGTTCATTCAGCGCCTTGTAGTCCAGGTGAATATGCGCAGACCGAATCGTTAGCGTCGTCACCGTCCGGCGGTCAGTCTTTCCCTCCATCCAACTATCACCTGTTGCAGTCTCAACTGCAAAACTTCAACATCGTACGTCGTTGACCATTTTGGCACGCTTATTGTTCTTCTTAACAGCATGACAATTTGTAGAATTCCACGACGATGAACCAAGGAAACGGCGGTTGGTACAGTCAACCTTCAGTCCCGTACGAACTGGTAATGGACGGCTCTTTGTCTGGTGTCTACAACCCGGTGGACTCACTTTTCGCGTAATTCATATTTTTCCTTTTCTCTTTCTTTGTATCTCGATTCGCTCACTGAACACCATCTGCTTTTCAGAAGTCACTTACCCGTCGGATATGCTCATAACCTTATGGACAACAACGGCCGAATATCTGGATTTTCCTCACTAAACGACAGAGCGGTATTAGACTCCGCCTTGTCTCCTCAAGGAAGTTTAATACCAAATATTATCCTCACCGGTAAGTAGCAACTGTTAATTTCAACAGTTAGATGATTTTTTATTTTCAAGTATAAATTTATGTAGCGTATGTTGTGATGCCCGTCTCTTGTGATAATCTGCTAACTTTATGAACGGCCTTGTGCGTCTTCTTAATTCCGTAAAAAATTCATTTCCGTCATTGGTTCAGAGGAAGCGATACGCCCATAGCGACACGCATATACGACGTGTTTTTATAAGTCGTCATTTTACTTTCATCGTATCCCCATTAGTTGGGGTCTGAAATTCAGTCGTGCAAGACACTGCATCGTTCCGTTTTCCGTCATGGATCAAGTGCAGCATTGCCTGGCGATGGTCAATTAAACATTCTACAGTGTACCACAGCACACATTACAGAATGCATCGAAAAGTGTTTCCTGCGCAGAGTAGATTTTAACGGCAGCGAAGATATGCAGTTAAGAAATTTATCCAAACACTGTCAGTTGGTTTTGACTCATTTCCATGTCCATTCTAGTTTGAAATATGCGTACCGTGGGCGTCGCTCAGGGAATGGTGTAGTGGGCATCAAAATTCAAATGATGCAGCTGCATATATCTAACTGTTTGGATGTTCATATATTTTTTGTTGATTATCAGGCGTTGACCGAATCATGTTTAGGTGCTGATGGATCAGTGAATAGCGATACGGCTTCATCATTGCTCGGATCCGCGAATTCATACGACTCATCTGTGGATCCTTTCATGGACATCAAAGTGAGTAGTTGATGGATGTGAATGCTTTTGGACATGATGATCTATTTGAGTTATGTTAACTGGCGCAAATACAAACTACTTTATACGTCGTTGCGGTACCGATGCCTACTCTTATTTATTACATCCATCGAGAGGCCTTTAAACACGCAGCATAACAGTGCATATAGCTAGAATGTCATCTTTAACTGTCCTTGTTAATACTGGGCTTATGACAGCGTTTTCTAGACGAGGTTGTTATAGAAGTATGCAGCTGCCAGCATGTTCCGACGTCACTCTAATCCTTGGCTCAGATATCCATTTAAAAACAGGTTAGATACACTGCGGAGCTCAGAGAGTGAACCTGTAGCTCAAAACTCGAACCCGCGACATCAGGTTGTTTTAAAGCAGGGATTTCTTTTCCTTGACAAGAAATGAATAAGAGTTTGTCGAAAAAGCACAATGGCGAGAACCGAATATAAATGCAGTCTCCACGTAATGGTGTTGTCCAAGGTTTCCGCTCTCAAAAATTCGTGGAAGTTTTTCTCTTCTAGAGTTGATCCAGGTATTTCATCACAAGCATCAGTGTTCATGGCTCTCATGCCTCAGATGATAGGATGCATTTTTGAACGGAGAAAGGAATTACCCTACTGAGGCTCAGATTGAGAAGGCGAACGTTGTTTCTTGTGTTCACATAATTTAGATTCATACTAAATCCTATATCGAGAGAGTTACCGTAAAGGAGTATATTGCGCTGAAGTTATTATGATAGAAAATTTAATTTCCATATTCAGTTAAGGCAATCTCTAATCTAATGTGAATTGCTGGATTTTTTCTCACTGCTTGTCCTTAATGAAAGAATTCATCAGCACCGTAGTGTTCATGAACATTTTTATATTTGTTCACTGCACAATACACTGAATTTTCTGTATGATGATCAGCATGTGAACAAAGCGTTCAGTGAAGTTCGCTCTTTATCAGCATTTTTCATATCTCATATTTCTCAGGTATTTCGCTGTGTACTTGTATATGAAAATTTTTTCATACATAGTCTATTTGCTTGCTGTTTCAATTAATATTTTGTCAACACCAATGCACAGAATGCTTTGGTGTTTTGTTTTCAAGGAATTAGTTGAATTTGTTATCATGCTGCGATCCGTTTTCGCCTGTATAAATCTATTTTGCTAAATATTTTATTATTTATTTCTTGGTTTGCTAATCACGTCATGCTGTGTTATTGCTTTTTGTTCGCTGATCGCGTTGTTCTGATATTTAGATGACCGTCGATCCTCGGGATTTAGCTGCTCTTCAGCGACTGAGTTATGAACAGGACTTGAACATTGATGCTGAATCGGAAGAGGCTTTGAGAAGAGAACGGCTATAGAACTTTGTTGTGTTGTGCCATGCGATACAGTACGCGCTTAGTTCTGACTCTTCTTGTAAACGCCGGATAGAAAAAAACGTTAACGACAGTGTGTGAGTGATGATCAAATTTGTTGAACCATCAAATCCGTCGAAGTGATTACTCATTTTATCCGAGAATCACCAGGCGTGACCAACCGACCCACCGCGGACGGACGATTCGGATTGGTTCGGTCCGTCCTGACGACGCGAGCTATGTCATGCACACTCCAAGTGCGCGCTCGTGCGCAGAGGAGAGGAACAGTCATTCAGTTCCGTTACGTTCAGTACAATTGTTGTTGGTGTCGACTTTATTTATTACCGGTTACTGACTCTGTAGTCGTTGTGCTTTAAAGCTAATACCGTTTACGGTATGTAAATAGACGCGAAGCAGCGCTTTTACAGAAGCTTACGTTTCGATATTTCACCACGCTTCACACCAATCTGTCAGCCAGCGATTTGATATGTCTAAACGGAGCATCGTCAGCCATATACCAGTTGTGAATATCCGTTTTATCCGTTGTATGTGTGCTAAATTTCCTTGATGTCTCTCCACAGGTTTTATAATATATAACGCCGACGTTGTTGCATGATGATGTCGCATGTTGACAGTCAGTTAATACCGAATTGTTAGGTTTTCTAGTGTTAACGAATGATTAAATATTTTTTTCCGATCTTGCCGTTTTGCAAGTGACAGGCTATGCCCCTGCAGTGTGATGTTTTGGCATAGTCAGTAATTGCCGTAGTTACACTTGTGATCGTTACATTCGGTCATACGTAATAACATAATTATAATTAAAACGGCCATGGCAGAGTACCTTACTTTTTGTACTTTATGATGCTGCTATATCTTTTTGCTTCTACTTGTCGATTTATTATTCGAAACGAAAAATTATCAAATGCTTAATTTACAAAGCGTTTCTTCTTTGTATAACCTATAAAATTATCTCCGAAACTATAATGCTACACGAATTGCGGCACTAAACCAGAGTCTTAATATTTGATAGTGGTTGTGAACTTTACGTTGTGTCTCTTAAGGCCTCGTTAATAGCAACCTAGGTTTTTCTTACTTCATATAATGAGAAATATTCATTGTTTTGACGTCCTTATTCACTTAAACTGTACTGAACGGGTTATTTATGCGCGACAAAAACAGTTTGATGAAGCGAATGATTGTTCAGTGCTGACTTTTGGGCATGTATTTCATGGTTCCCTACGGTTGGGAGATTGGTTGATTTCAGAATTTGTGTTTGTAGTTCACAACGATTCGTGCGTATCGAGTCTTATGGCGAACTTTCGGACCGTGCTGCAGTTATATGGCGATTTGACTTTCAATCCGCGCAGACGTATATTTTGTCATGGTCGTAGTTGTCCTCCTGGGGTTGGATCATTAATGTCTCCTTGACGCGCCTGTTCAGCTGGCGCATTTCTTTGATGATGCCTCTGCATTATGTGCATCATCCTTAGCTGATGAAAGCCTTCGTTATCTCATAGTACGCGATCACTCAGTTGGGCCAATGGTATTTGTGTTCTTAGTTTCTCCTATATAATCTTTCTTGCGGTAATATGGCAATTGTAAATCTGCTGTAACTAATGATTATTCTCAGAGTTACTTAATGAAGTATTAAGTTTACTAGAACTTTTGTATTACGTTAATAGTTTATCTAGGTTAAGTAACTTTTCATTAAAATTTCTATGATGTTTCGTTTGAATCATTCAGACACGTAAATATCTGAAGATCAGAATTGACGAGCGCGGGAAAATCGTTTCAAATAATCATACTTAACAACGGCATAGATCTACCCTTCAGAAAATGTTATAGCTGTACTAATATAGTCGCTAGCATTATTTATAACCATCACGATAAAATAGCGCTAATTCGCAAAGTTGTTGCATATCTCTAGCACATTTAGAGTATTTAATGCAAGTGTTGCTTCATGTGAATAGAGGGCCTGAGCAGTAATTCATTGTTTGCCTTTTGTTTTATCTGCTACCTGATCGTTCGCCGTGGAGTGTTACTCAATCTGATATTCATGACGCAAAAATCAGTAGCCGCTTATAATTTCCGGTCGCTAACGTAGAGGTTTGAAACACTCGAATGTCTTCGATCCTTTCCAGCGTTTTAGCTTCCGCAGAAGGAAATAAGCCTAGATTCTGTAGTGCAAAATAAGTCAAGATACTTGTCCTGGTCATCC